GCAGAATACCAGTTCAAGAATGCTGCTGCAAACATTAAACTAAAAAGCTTTCTGCAGTAAATAGTGTTCTGACAAGAGCAAGAGGAAAATGGTTCACTTTTTGCACATTCTTTCTTCCTTACCATAGTAAGCAAGGCCTTGCTTACTGCTGCTTAGAGAACAGCTTTACAAATGTAAATGTCATTGCTTCTGCTTTGCATTCATTTTTAGTTTAAATTGCAATTGTACTGCAGTTGCTAAGAGTCTGCTGAAGTCTGATTCTGTAAAACTTCTTTGAAACACAAATGTTCAGCCTAACGTCATTGATCAAATTGGGTCTGAGAATAGTTTACCAGATTGCTTTGTGCAGTATGTGTGCTTGTACTCCCTGGCTGTGACCATGCTGCTATTTCACCCATGAATAAAAAGTTTCTGTACATTCATAATTCAGATTTCTTGTAATTAAAGTTGTTGTATTAATTTAAATGAACAGAATGTTAATTCAGCTACTATAGCTTGTACAAGTTTTAACAATAACAACTATTCTGGTACCTCTCTTAATGAAATACTTTCTTTAATAAAAATTATTCCATTACTACTATGTTTATTAATAAGAAGAAATTAATAATATTAATACTATTAATATATTAATATTGTTATCTATATAGTACCCCTGCTGCAGAATTAGCCATAAAGGTAATGAACACAAAACTGATTTTCCGCATTTTAACTATACTGTATTATATGTCATTTATTAATGGTAGCTTTTCATTTTAAAATGTTAGAAATGCAAGTAACTTTGCACTCCCTATTTCATCAGCTTCTGTAATTAATGGTGTATGTTTATTGAATTATTTAAATGTTTGTCACAAGTCAAGGACAATCTACCATATGCTTTACACTAATTAGTACTTTGTTTATTTTAGGAATTTGATTAATTCAGCAGCTACTTTTTAAATAGAGCCAGCATGGCAAAGGAGGCTTTGTCTGAGTTTTCCAAAGACAAAATACTGCTCCTCTTCTTTATCAGTAGCCCACTCTGGCAGACACATACCCAGATCCTCAGCAGATGATTCAGGCAGACCATAAGTGAGGTTCTGCATGAAATACAGTTATGTAGTTGGTCTTTTAAAAAACACAGACAGAATTAAGTGGCAGTCAGAATGCTTCTATGTGCAACATCCAAGGTTTATAAACAGTAATTTTCTTTCAAAAATGGAAAAAACAAACAAAATTCATATGATATATATTTAAATGAGCCTAAGAAATGAGCTTTACTGTTTATTAAGTGGTTGGTGTATTTTTTGAGTCCTAGAATGTCACCTACCTTTACAGATCAGCTGAGTTCTTTCTTACAGCTTTGTACCTTCTCGGTAATTTAATAGTCCCTTTGACCATCCTTCTCTTCTACACCCCTTATTGCTAATATGAAGCCCTTCTAAATAAGACTTGGTACTATGCCAGCCTTATTTAGCAAACATGGCATTTCAAAATAATGATGATATCAAAATGTTTTTAGAGATGTTGATAGTGTTTGTGTATTAAGACAAAACAGAAAATAGAAAAGGAACTTTTATACTTTTTTATGCTTTTATTGGAAAAGAATTTACATATATTTAAATAAGTTTTTTTGCAGAGCCTCGTTTGATTCATATTGGAAATACTTTATAAATTATTATTTGCAACAGTAATAATTTTTATGGTCAACCATCTGTGATCTTTTTCAATTCACAAATATAACAGAAAAATCTGATATTGTGCCCACGAAAATTTACTTTAAATTCAGCTTTTTAGGCACACAGGAAAGGTTTCTTTACAGTTCTAATATGTTCTGGTGCATTGATACATTTCATCAGTCTGATACACTTTAATGCTACACAAGGCCATAAAATGCCATGCAACCTCTCTGATTAATTCGTTTGGAGAGTGTTAAATTTAAAAGTATTTTGCTATATTGAAGCTGATAAAAATATCCTAGAATGCAGAATGGTTGGTTCTGTTTACAGATGGCTCATATTAATAGGTACCAATATAGTATTGTAGTTCATGTAATCATTTGGGACATATATATGCAGAATGATTACATGAATGTATATATAGATGTATATATGTGTGTGTGTGTGTACATCTATAAAATTTCTTATTAAAAATTTATATATAACTTTTGATTGTAAACATGTTAAAATATTTTGTTTATATATCATAGTGCAACACAGGAGAAAATTAACAAAAATATGTGTAATAGTGGGTTTATAAAGTCCTCCACACAAGGGTTTATACAGAAGTATGTTTTACTTAATACCACGATGCTTGTGCATTTACATACTTTCTAATAGTATATAGGCAGAATTTTGTTATTTTCAGTAAAACTAACATTAAAAGCCTAGCACACAGTGCAAATGCAGGTGGAAATAAATGTCATTATGCACAATTAATTTACTGAAAGTTAAAAAAGTTAGTTTACCTCTCTCCCATTCCAGTATCTGAAAATTTTATTCATTTGTTTGTGTGTTTCCCATCAGGATGAGCGGTTCCTATTTCCCTAAGCAACTGACATTAATTTCCCTAAGTTATAGGTGCTTATAGTGTTGGCTCACTAGCATAATTCGTTGCTTCTTAGTGATTTTCTACAGAAAATATTTCACATAATTTATCTTTCAATATTAAGGAGGAATCCGTATTTAATTCACCCTCAATATAAACTTGTGTTTTTAACTGTGTTTTCTGTTGAAAAGTCTAATCTAGCAAGATTTCTCTAGGCAGAAAGCTATTTTCTGAGTTCAGAGGTGCTATGCCAGTCTAATCACTGGTTAATTTTGAAATAACTGGAGGCAAAGAGACTTTTCTTTCTATGTGGATGCTCTTTGCTGCTACCAAGCATCTTGGCCTAAGGAATATCACACCAAGGTTTGTCTGTGATCTGCTAAAAAAGTCTTTTCTTTCTAGTTTGAAAAGCAACTTAAAATTAAAATTGGAGCATTTTGAGAAAGCTAAGCCATGAAAATATTCTCCAAAATCTTCAAATCTTCTGAAATCAAAGAAAATAAAGATATTAGAAAAAAATAGGTCTGAAAAGATATTTTCAATTAATGCCTCTTTTCCTTGAAATCTTAACACATTTCATAAAAAAAAACAACCCTGCAACATTTTTTTTTAAATTTCATCTAAATAATTTTGTTTCTACTCTAAACTTTGTTGCACTCTCTTCTTCCTAAAAAAGTAATTCTCATCTTAATTAGTTTTTCTCTTCTCCTTTGATATCAATATTTGACTTTTAATATTGCTTTCCTGCAAGGCTACTCTGATCTAGCAATCAATTCTTGGATTAAGTCTTTAGAATCTATTGCAGCTTTGTTGGCAAAAGTTCCATTCTTCTGATCTCAAACTAAAGAAAGGAGAAAAGACTGGTGAGTTTTGTGGAACCGAGCAGTGTCTGTGGAGCCCGTAACATTTCACTGTCTGAATGCTAACACAGCTTGGCTACATCATGACTCTCAGTCTTGGTGGTTGGTTGATATTTTAATAAGCACAGACTTCATATCATGAACAGGATTCCCCTGAGTTTACGCTGGCCTATTAAAAAAAAAAAAAACCCTGTGACTTCTAAAGATATAAAAAATAAAAATTCAAAGCAGTTTTCCTTTAGAAGACTAGAAGAAAGTACTAGGCAGATCATGTAAATGAAATGCTGACCATAGTGTAAAATGAAATGTGAAAGAAATCAAGTAATACTAAAACTATTGCTTTAAATTTAGTGTAGCGTGACAATCAGAATGGCATGAAAATTGATCCTGGCAAATCCAGCACATCATATCCAATATTTTAGGAAATACCATTCATTGTGTTTAGGAAATACTAAAAATGTATCCAGTACATCACCTTTACCGATAATGCTATTTTTCTTTTTTTTTTTTTTTTTTTTTTAATATCTTACTAATGTTTCTAATGAAGTCATGGAGAGGTTTGAAAATGTATTTTCCGGATAAATATGAGTTTTGACATACTTATTTGTTTGAAAAAAAACCCAAGAAAAGAGTCATTGACTTAGATTTTTAAAATTAGGTTGCAGGGAACAGCAAAAATATTGCTTCACTAGCCATATTATTTGTTATTTCACATTTCTTATTTATTATGTTTATTATTATTTATTATGTTTGTTATTATTTATATTATGTTTTAGTTGTTTTATGATAAAATAGCCTTGTGCTTAAGTTAATGGTAACTAAACATTTCTATGTCCCTGTGATTTCTATGTGCAGTTTGGATGCTTTTAAGACTAAATGAACCTCTTATGAGCACAATAATAACATCCTTGGTGTATATAGGTAAAATAAAATAGTGCAATTAGTACTAAAGGGTAATCAGTACACTCTGTTATCAAAAGCTAAAATGCTTAAAAATGCCTATTAAAAATTTCAGCAAAAGAAAAAAAGTTATTTAATTTATTTTTCTTGTTTAAATGATAAAAGAAAAGCTATCTTGTAAGGGAACAAAATTTAGAAGTGTTTTGCATTTAACCTATTCCTCATGCTGTTTTCACTGGCATAAACTTGTATAGCAGCAAATATTTGAAGAATTGCAATACCCCAAAATAAAGAGCATCTTTTTAAGCAAATATTGTGTAAAATCAAAGTTTGAAATTTTGAGGACAGATTACTGCTTTGAGTAAATTTTCATGCTTCAAAATCACATCAAGGGACAGGTCCCAGTTTTGCAGGGACTTGTGCAGTTGAGTTATGAGCATCTCTCAAAACAGAGGTCAAGTGACAGAGACTGCCCCATGGGGCAATGTGTTACAGCACTTAACCCCAGTCATTGTGGAAGGGAAAAAAAAAAAAAAGTGAAAAATGCTAGGGGAGTTTAAGAATGGATTATATAGTAGTCTAGGAATCAGGAAAAGTGTATTTGATTTTGGAGCAGGATAGAGGAGAAACTATACTGTCTCATTTGGATCATGTATGTCTGTGATTTTTGTGATAACTAATTCTGCAATTAATACATTTTTCTGCTTTTAATTGCAGCAGGAAAAGAATCATGAAAGCTCAAGAAATAAAGGTAAGTGCCAATTATTTTCAAAATGTAAACATTCTTATAATTATCAGAAGTGTAACATTCAATTTTAGTAAAAACTTCCAGATATATTGTTTTCTAAGTATTTTGGTATTTGAAATGACAAAAATATATCTAGGAAAGGGGTTGAAATTTAGAAAGTGAATGTATTAGCTGCTATTTTTGGAACTCTGAGATGAACAACACTGATTGCTGCACTCTGCATGGGATGGGCTGCACAGCTTCTCAGTAAGTTTGTGTCCTTGACTATGGCTGGTTATTATACTTCCATAAAACATCAGTACCATCAATTTAGCTTCTCCCTTTCCATTCAGTAAATCTGACACCGGGTGTGATTCCAATCTGTGCACCAAATAATCATCTCCTTAATAGGTTGCCTTGCAAAAGGACTGTTGTGGTGGTTTTTGCATACAATTTATATTTTCACTGCACCTTACTCTGTGCCAGTGGCTAAACACTATGTGAAATAGAATATTGAGGTTAAAGAAACAACCTTTTATCAAGAATATTAGGACTTCCAAAACTCAAATGTGGATTTCATATCTTTTATTTTCCTAACATAAAGTCTGTTAAGAGACAAAACATCCAAACCTCTTCATTAAAAATTGCTAAGCAAGCCATGAAAAGCAAAATCACCAATGGTGGCAGATTGTTCTCTTGATGTTTTAATTTTTATACAGATGGGATGTGAGATACTTCAAATGGGAAACAAAGGGAGGATAGGAGAAAGAGCACCAGTTAAAAGTTGCAAAGAGAGGAGGGAATTAAGTAACAAACCAACCTGTATCTTTTTTATTGCCTTTGCAAGCAACCTGAAATCATATCACCTGAGTTAGCTGTTCTTAATTCAGTTATTTATGTATCACGGTACTCATTCATCTCAATTTTCTTGCTTTCTCTCACATGAAGGCTAAACAGAAGCATCTAAAGGCAAACTAAAGCTGATGGTTGATTGGAGTTGTGTCAGGACAATTACATTTTTTGTGATGATATGATAATTTACATCATCTGAATGATCTATGGTCCTTCATTTGAAGAGTGTGCATGGGAAAAATAATTGAACAAAAAAATTGCCTTTATTTTCAACCAGTTTGTGATTTCTAACTTTCTTTTCAGAGGTAATACCATATAAAGGTGAATATCTTTAGATGTAGTGAGTGTGTCCATGATGTATCGTTCGAAACGCTTTCCTGTTTTATGATTTAACACAAATTATAAAAAAGACTGTGAGAACTTGGATTAGATTACAGGAATAAATTATTTGTGAATACTGAAGAATTCTGAAATGGGCCATTCTTTGTGGATTTTTATGAGTTATGTCAGTTATATATGATGTTTGACAGTCCTTCTTGCACACCCCACCCCATGCTGTTGCCAGGGGGTCATTAAGGTATGAATATGAGCAACAAGTAAAAGTAGGAACAAACTAATTAGCTGGGTGGGAGTGCCCATCTTTTTCATTAGCTGTTAGTTTTGTTAACTAACCACAGAAACAATTTTCAAAGGATTATAAAATATTGCCCACAGCTACAACCAAAGGAACCCGTTAAACTCTTGATTGAAGGAAGATATAATTTTCTCCAAATAGGCAGTGATATTGGTGCTCAGCTGGACAAAATTTGTTGTGATTGTGTCTGTAACATCACTTGATGAAATGTTTAACCTACTAAACTTCCAGCAATATATGTTTGTCTCTGCCTAAAATGACAATTCAACTTGGAAGATGTCAGTAGTCTGGAAGACTAATCATGCACAGAGTAGTCTTTGAAACATATATGTATCTACAGATATACTTCATTGCATAATGCTATTTTGAGGTGGGTTTATTATTGGGTTTTCTTTGTAGTGCTCTCTTTTCATATTCTTTAAATTTATTTGTTTTCATGTGTTCTTTATCCATGTAATTGCAAAGTTTCAGGAAGATATTTTCATTTCACTTACAGCATATAAAATCTTAAAACTCTTCCTTACTTAAAATATTGGTTAGTTCAGATGAAACAAGACTAAATTAATGTTTCAGCCTAAGCATTTTTATCTTGTCAGTGAGAAACTGCAGTTCACATGCAATGTCTAAATGTTTTGGGCTCTCCATATGTTCTTCTTGAACTTCTCAAGTTCTTGGGATGGGTTTCTAACAATATTCCTTACGCTCTTCATATTTCAGCCACTACATATGGTAAAAGGATGAAATATTTTCCGTGGTTTCTTAACAATTCTGATACTTTCAGAAGCAATGTTGTCCTCTAATTCAGAGGAATTCTAATTCATCCTTACCAAATGAAAAGCTGGTGTCTCTGTTGTGTCTAATAACTTCCTTTGAAGTCAGTAGTTCAGTATCTAATTTTTATTAATAATTGCATTAGACTGTGTTTTTTAAGAGGGGAGGATATTGTAGCAGAATTCAAGTCAAAGGCTTTTTGACTTCAGCAGGATCAATATCTTAGTATAAAGGAGCATTCTGTAGCTTTTATTATGTTATAAATACCCAGTAATTTTTCATTTTACCTAATTCATAAAAAATTGCTATAAAATACATCTAAATCCTATTTTTATTTTAGAAAGGATATTCTTATTGTTTTGTAGTAGGTTTCTTTTTTCCTGTTGACACATTTCTGACCTGCCTGTTTTCCCGTTACTTCTATTTTCAGCCTCTAAGTCAGTCACACGAGAATAGAAGCCAATACTCAAATACACCCCATTCTGACACTAATCCCATCTCTTTCTGATCTGTGAAATTCTTTTTCTTGTTTTACTTAACAGGGAACAGATCTTTTTGTACACTCTTTGAGAAAAGCAACACTGCTTTTATGTAAAACACTATGTTAACATTTTACAGTTTTAATGTATGTTGGCAAAATTCCTCATGCGTCCGAGAATTTTTTGTATGTGAAAATTATTATCTCCAGGGCAAAATATAAATTAAATTAGTTTTATAACACTTCTATAATATGAAAAAAATAATAAGGCAATTATCAACTAAATCTTGCTAACTCTTAATTGCTGGTTTGGAGTCCCGTTTGACCTTTGCTACCTTTCTTTTCCAGTGTTAACTCCTTCAGGAAAAAGAATGTTTTATTCCAAACCTATAGTGGAAGATAAAATAAATTTTCTTGTGATGATTTGGAAACATCAGAAATTGTGTTACATTTAAGCAATGTGAAGAATTTTCTTCTCAGCCTTTGCTTGACTTTGGAAACATTCATGTGCTTTTACTAAGTAACATTATAAACTTTAAAGTAGAAATAGTTTCTGACAATATTATTTTGAATAACAATATTATACTAAAACTTCTGAAGTACCAGAAGGTTGACTCATATCAACTGTTTGCCAGTAGTAAGCCTAAAAGTCTTCTCAATTCCTTTTCACAGAAAAAACACTGGCACACAGGAAATACTGAGACACAAAAATATTTTAGTTATCTGGTAGCATTTCAGATCAGCTCCTAAGCTTTGCCATAGTTTGAATTATAGTAGAATTCTCTTCTTTTTTGAGAATTTAAAAATTGATTTCAGTATAGAGAAACAAGGTGTAGGAGCTTTCTAAAAAAACCCAGCAAAATCAGTGAAAAAAAAAAAATCTGAATTTAGGCTGTGAGTAAGGTGGTTGTTGTGCTGATGTTGAATGATGATATGATAGTGTAACTTTGCCTATTAGTTTTAGCAACTTAACACCTTTTGAAAGATTGAAAAAGTGCTCCAGCTAAGTTTTGGAAAATACACACTTTTCGTAGCATTTTCAAAATGTGCATGCAAATAATTTTAATTATATTAACTTGAAGAGTTTTTTACTTTAGTTAAGAGCACTTTGGTGCTTGTGCCAAATGTATAGGATGCTTTTAAAAATGTTTTCTAGCTACTATTAATCTGAGCTTTGAACATCACTAACACTCAAAATTAAACCATTTAGAGAATTTTGACTGACATAATTTTAATTACAGTTTGAGTTTCTAATTGTACTCAATACCTCTCATTTTATGCTTACCTTAATAAACTGGATGTAAAACCATTGTTGACTCACAGATTAGTTTCAGAAACAGAATTCTCTATGATTATGAACATATTGCCGTACTCTTCTGATATCATTAACAAACATCTGTTCCTTTTATAATCTTCAGCTACCAGAATTAGAGGGGAAATCATATAGGCATCACCTGCATATCTTACTTGCTTTTTACTCTTTAAACAGCTAGCATGCCTTCACAACATTTCTGGTATTTTCTGAAATCCCAGATTGGTGTAATCTTTTTCTATGAGCTGATGAATATAAGACAAGAAGTAGTGAAAAAAATCTTAAGAAATTTCAAACTTGAAAGAATTTAAGGGACAGAATCAGTAAGGCTTTATCTGAATAATAACTTGTAAAACTGGACATACTCTCAAATGCCAGGGTGAACAAACTGTTAGATCTATTCTGCAGTATGTCTGGCTGTTATTACTTTTGATAATGGAGAAAGCTCTGCATGTTCTGATGCAGAATTCATGATACCGTCATTCTTTGTCATGTTAAAGCCGTTACCTGTGGCAAGAAATACTGTTCATTATATTCTGTAATGTATCCAGTGACTTATTTTGTTTGCTCAAGCAAATGATTATTAGCTCGTTTTTCAACAGACCTGTATTAATTGTGTATGGTTAGAATCTGAACTACAATCCTCCTGGACTGAACTGACTAATGTTTTAGCTTTTTATGCTGCAGTAGCTTCTCTACTAGATCAGTACATTTCAGAAAAAAATGTAGTATTTTAAAGAATATGTGTAGCAGTGAAAGTTGGTAAATGTTTGTCCCATCTGACCCAGAGTGTTTGTTCTGAAGTTCTTTTCTTTGTAATTATGTTCCAATGTACCTGAGTGAATAAACTTTTAAAAATTGGTATGAGGATTTTTGAATTATGTTTCCCAAACACTGTCCCCTTTATCCCGCTCTGTTCTCCTCCAAGGCTTAGTCAACTGAAACTCAAATCTCTTCTGTTACTTAAGAATTGTCAT